TGTGTCTGAGTGACTTACATTCAGTTTTTTCTCCAGTCAGGATACAAATTCTTTGAATTTTATACCTTCATCACTCAGTGTATGTTTTCTTGTTTTGTTTTTAAAGAAAAGCATCTTTCTTTACTAGTTATACATAGAATTCAACACATTTTTATTTTGAACAGGTTTAGGTCTGTAAATCTCCAGTCCTGTTTTACTGAACATCTTAAACCTTTTTTCTATACTGAATATATTTAAGATGAGAGAGTATTTGAAGAATACACAGAATCTTCTGTACTTGGCATATTTTGCAATTCTGAAATACAAAAGATAAACAGGAAATTTGGTAGCATGTGTTGGTCTTAAAAACTCCTTGAATGTAGTGTTAGGAAGGAAGGTAGAAAAACACATCCAATTCCATGGAAGCCATTGACTGTCATGTTTCAGCACTATAAGCCATCGTCATTGATACCGTTTAATATCAGTAGTTTAAATATAATCCTATATGACATTTCATAGATTACTTTTTATAAAAGCATTTGCTGCTATTATTGGGAGAAAAAGTAAGCAGAAATGGTTTTCTGGAAGGAAAAAGACATAATCTTGGGGAAAATGGGTAATTTTTTTCTGAATTTGCTAAATTGTTTCTGCATTAAATAATCTATACCTGTTCCACATTATTTATCCACAAGCAAGTCTTTGGAAGAACAAAGATACTTCTAAAAGATAAAATAGGAAACATTAAGGGTATTGCAGCAGGCAGCAATCAGATGGCTTCCAGTATTCCTGCCCCCTGTTGGATATGCCCTGAATAATCCTCAACCCCTGAGTATGGACTGTGATTATAGTATAGTACTGAAGATTCTATATTAACAGAATGGAGTGTCATTCTTCTGTCGCTCAGGCTGGAGTGCAATGGTACGATCTTGGCTCACTGCAACCTCTGCCTCCAGGGTTCAAGTGATTCTGCTGACTCAGCCTCCCAAGTAGCTGGGATTACAGGTGCACAACACCGCACCTGGCTAATTTTTGTATTTTTATTAGAAACAGGGTTTCATCATGTTGTCCAGGATGGTTTTGAACTCCTGACCTCCCAAAGTGCTGGTATTACAGTCATAACCACCATACCTGGCCCACTCTGCTGGTTTTGAAAAGGTCAGCTGCCATGTTGTAAGACATCTGTATGGCAAAAACCTGAGGTAGTCTTTAGGAGCTGAGAGTGGTCCCTGACAGACAGCCTACAAGAAAATGGGGACCTCAGCCCTGCACTCATAAAATACTGAATCCTGCTAACAAGCTGAATGAGCTTTGAAGAGGACTCTGAGTCTCATGTGAGATTGCAGCCCTGGGTAACACCTTCATTTAAGCCCCATGAAACCATCAGCAGAGGTCCCAGCTAGCCAGTACTTCACCTTTGGTTCATGGAAGCTGTCAGATCAGATAATAAATATATGTTAGTTAAAGCTGCTAAGTTTGTGACACTATTTTACACAGCAATAGAAAACCAATACAGGTGGTTTCCATAAAGTTTGCTCATAAATTCTGGGGTTTAAACCATCACTCAGAGATATTATTTGTGGGATTCAGCCAATAAAACTATCCAACAGTTTCAGAAAACAAACGACTGCATGCCAAGTTCTATTCACGAATAGTGAAAACTGTACAGAGTAGGGCTTATTCCTGCAAATGACAGTCATAATTCTGGGTGTCACTAACTAACGTTCACCTGTATTATTATCATCCCTCCCTCCCTCACCCCTTCCTTCTTTCCTCCTTCCTTCCCTCCCTCCCTCCTGCCTTTCAAATTTGCTCAAATGCTCACTTTCTCTTTTTCTTTCTTTTCTCTTTCCTCCTCAATTGTTTGTTATAATGCTAATGTGTTGGGGGCTGTTGGCTATTGTATGAATACATTGTCAGCATTAACATCTTTGACACCTTCACTCGTCTATATGAACTTTGAAGGAATGGGACTTAGAGTATGATAGGTATGCATATAGGGAGTAAAGACATAAAGCAACAGGAATTTTAATAGGAACTGGACATCTAATGGCATATGAAAGTAAGATGAACTGAATGTCAAGGCAAGTTATTAAGACAATAGAATAGATTGAAAACAATGAAACAAGATAAAAAATGTCATATTGAGACTGGGCTCTGGGATGCGGGAGAGGCTCATCTCCCTGATAGGTTGTGTTCTTCCAGGTTCTTGGTCCCTCACTCACCCAAGAATGGGGGAGAGGACCCTGCTGGGCACGGTGGCTCGTTTAAATAAATATTGGACCCCAAAGAATTTTTGTAGAAATTAATTTATTTAGGCAGAGAGAGAAAAAGGAGAAAGAAATAAAGCAGCTCCCAGATGTCTTGGAAGGGGATCCAGAAATGGAGTCCTCACCAATGTGGGAGAAGGGGACTTTTAACCTGGGTGTTATTTCCACCCCATTTAAGTTTTTGGTCCTATGAAAGGAGTTCCTTTAAACTTCCACTGGAGTGATTGATCTTTGATTTTTTCCCCCCGCCTGTAAAAGCCAAAGGCCTCTAGTCTCCTGGATGGAGCGAGCCAAGGTGGGAGGTATGGCACTGGGAAGTTCTTGCTTTTGAATCTACGCCCCCTTGTGGACCAGGAAGAGAATACATTTCCTCAATATGTTTAATGCTGTGTTTAAGGGTAGCATTAACTTTGTAGGATATTTTTATCTGGTTCTTTACCATATGCCCAGTGTCTAGAATCATCTCTGGGATCTATAATAGTATGATATATTGCTTATATAATATTATATGTATACTTATGTAATACTTATATTATCATATATAAAATTTATGTCTAAGATCTGATATATATATCTGACATATTATATATATAATTATTTGTATCATATATGATATTTATAATATTTATTGAAACAATGAATGTTACATTAAAGAACCTTGATGTTTATATAACTTCTGAACTTTTGATTCTAACTTTTAGGGTGGGAAGTGCACAGATTTTGGAGGTCGAGAGATTTGGCATATTTGTTTAATGAGTTTAATATTTACCAGACACATTTAAAATAAAGGGACATAAGATAATAGTATGAGGATTCAAATGCGTACACATGTATTTAGAAAGGATTTTAACATTGCCTGGTCCCTGAGGGATACCAAGTTATTATAAAACAGAATAATATTGGATATTTGTTGGCTAGTACAACCTAAATGGGACACTTAAGTGAAATGCAAGTTACTAAAGGTAAGCTTTTGATTTGTTAATTTGTTTTTGTTTTTGAAAAATACTTTCAAATTTAATAAAGAAATAGCAATAACTGGTACATACATTACTTCAAAATATTTTCACTAAGTACCAAGTAGAATCATTCCCAATCTCTTCATAGAGAATCACTTTGAAAGAAGGCACATAAAAAGATGAAAATTATCCCAACGTTTAAAAACAAGCAACCAAAATCTTACGAGTTTATAACGAAATCTAAAGTTGTCAATCAGAGTTTCTACTTACTATGAAATGACAAGGTTGAAAATCTTGAGGTCACGTAGTATGAGGCTTCAAAAGCTTTGTTGAATGTATGTATTCCAACTGAGGGCATTTCTTGGTGCCAGGCTGGCAACCACAAGTCCCTGTGCCAGATACCATACACATGCAATCAAAACTGAGTAAGTATCACATGTAAAAGATAAAGAATATATGGTCCCTGCATATTTAAGGAGAACAATGTCTAATTCCCATGGGTGTAAAATTAGTAAGACGCAGAGAGACAGATCCAATTTACCAACCAAAAGGAAGAACCAAGCACAGGCAGTAGACGAGATAAAAGTCCTGTGCCCTGGGGATGCAGCAGAAAGGGCTCTGGGAGGTTTCAGAAACCAGGCAGCATCCAGGTCTGATAAAAACATGAGTGGCTATCAATGCGTGTGGAAAGGTGTCCTCGAGGCTGAAGAAAACAAAATGAGCAAAGACATGGCGGTACAGGAGTAATACCTGTTCAGAAGACCATAAAGCATTTATTATGGGTAAAGGGATGTGATCTAATAAGAGACATAAAACTCAGGAAAACCCGACACAACAAGAGCCAAACACAGTGCTGTTCTGTATTTCTTAACAGCAATTTGACAGATAGTCTGAGGTGGCCTGCAAAACTAATAAGACAGCAAAATATCTTCCCAAAGGCAGAGGTGCCACACGCTCCTGGTGGAGGCTCAGTAGCCAAAGGTCACCCTGCAGTCCCTCCTCACTCTCACTGCAACACCCCAGTCCCTTGGAATCAAATCCACTAGCAATAATCTTCTTAATGGAAGATGTTTTCCCTCCCCAAATGTAAAACAAAAACAGTGTAAATGAACAAAACCTCAATCCAAAGAGACAATCAGAGCAAGCTTTAGCCCCTCATAGCTCACCTTTGCCCCAGCTGTCATGCTACTGAGGACAAGATCTGCTCCATTACTTACACTGACTCAGAAAGTAACAAAATTTAGCATATCACTGCTTTTATTACATCCCACCCCATCAAAAATAAACACCACACAAAATATAATTTTACCTCAAATAAAAGCCAGCTACACTTACTCAGGATATTTCAATCCTTTTCCAACCTGTTCAAAAAAAAAAAAAAAAAAATCATTATTCTGAGATCTCTGGAAGCATTGCAAATATTGCTCCATGAGATTCCTCTTCTTGAAGCAATTAGGTCTGGAAACAGAAAATTTACATATTTTTCTACACTACCACTGAAAGTCACTATTATTAAAGGCCTGCAACCAAAATCCTCATCCCCTGATTCTCAGGCTATTATAATTTTTTCCCTTAGATCAAACAAACAGTGAGAAATACACATAAAAAGATGAAAAGTTATCCCAAAATTTAAAAAAAACAAGCACCAAAAACCCATGAAGTAGAATCTGTGTCATCACATTAACAGTTTAAACTTTGCTAAAGACCAAAAATATCTTTATTTGATCTACTTAAGCTATAGGCATTTTATAATGTGCTCAAGAAATTAGCAGTTTATAAAAATAATGAAAATGGACCCGGCGAGAGGCGGGGGCAGGAGCGGCGGTGATGGATGGGTCCGGGGAGCACCCCAGAGGCGAGGGGCCCACCAGCTCTGAGCAGATCATGAAGACAGGGGCCCTTTTGCTTCAGGGGATGATTGCCACTGTGGACACAAACTCCCCCCGAGAGGTCTTTCTTCGAGTGGCAGCTGACATGTTCTCTGACGGCAACTTTAACTGGGGCCGGGTTGTCGCCTTTTTCTACCTTGCCAGCAAACTGGTGCTCAAGGCCCTGTGTGCCAAGGTGCCCGAGCTGATCAGAACCATCATGGGCTGGACTTTGGACTTGCTCCGGGAGCAGCTGTTGGGCTGGATCCAAGACCAGGGTGGTTGGGATAGCCTCCTCTCCTACTTTGGGACACCCACGTGGCAGACAGGGACCATCTTTGTGGCTGGAGTGCTCACCGCCTCACTTACCATCTGGAAGAACATGGGCTGAGGCCCCCAGCTGCCTTGGACTGTTTTTCCTCCATAAATTATGGCATTTTTCGGGGAAGGGTGGGGATTGGGAGACGTGGGCATTTTTCTTACTTTTGTAATTATTGGGGAGGATGGGGAGGAGTGGTCTGGAGGGGGTAATAAACCTCCTTTGGGACACACACACACACACACACAAATAATGAAAAAAAATTTCGGTGAGGGCATTAAACTAAAATCATCTCATACTCTGGCAGAGTTCTTCCAAAATGTTAAGCACACAAGGGATGTATGGCAAATTGCCTGCATAGGGCTGCCTCACATACTAACCCACATGCAGATGGCCAGCCTTTGCCCTTCTGCTCCAGTAAGCTTCAGAGATTCCGGGATATTGGCAGACACCTGCTCAAGGTAGGCCAAAGAGCCTGAGGGATGTCGGGTGGCTTTTGTGCTACACCTTGATGTCCTGCAGCATCTGCCGCCAGTGCCTCAGTTTTGTCAACTACTTCTCGACCAGCATATCTTTTCCCTGTAATTCATTCCTTAATTCTGAGACATCCTCTTTGATAACTTGCTCTGGTTTCTGGACAGATAATTGCAATTTTTTTTTCTGTACAAAAATACATTCTGTCTGTATTGCGATATGCAGAAACTTCTGAATCCCCTGATCAACAGCACTTTAATTCTTCCTGATTGGTGCCATTGACATAGTCCTAACTCACCAGAGAAGCGAAGCCAGCCTCAAAAGATGAATCTGGGTGCCCTGGCAGGGGCGAAATGGCCCCGTTGACTGCCCAGAGAACATACTGCCTAGCGAAGCAGTTATGTCTGAAATCTAAACTTCTTATTTTATAATTTATCCAGTTGTTGTCCTGATTTATTCCACCATGAGGATGACCTTAGTATCAGATCATAGGAAAAATGCTATTACAGAAATTATATAATAAACAGTATGCTGATTTGAGGAGGAATGACGGTTATTACATTTGACGAAGTTGCTTAATATATTACCCAAACTAATTAGCATCAGCTGGAAGCAAACAGCATTTCAAACTGTGTGTTAAATACTAGAAACTGACAATGACCAGGAGTTAGTGACTCATGGGCTTGTTATAATGACAAAAATGTAGTAACTGGAAGAAAGCTCTCGCTTTGCTACTTTGGCTGCTTCCTGGTGATCCTGAAGCTATGGTTTTTGGTTTCCTGGGGAAAGAGGAAATCAGCCTATTACTATATCATATTCAAATTACCACTCAAAGTGAGAAGTTAATGAAAGATTTTTGTCTTTTTTTGACATTAATATAAATGTAGCCATTACAATAAGTTTCTGATCGTGAATGCAGTACATACTCTAAAATGTGCCATTTGTGTTGCAACAAGACCACCTCAATAGTGCTTGTCTCCATACGAATCACTGTCAGTGATAAATATTTGATAGCCTTAAAAAAGTAAATAGTAAGTATCATGCATCTTACTGTGTAAATGGAACATAATGTGTAAGTTACTATGCTAGATACTTTGAATAAAATGACGAGCAAGCTTACATGCTTTTCTGCTATGGGGGACATTACCTTCTACTGAGAGAGACAGAAAAATAAACAAATGATAGCAAAAACAAGGGCAATTGATAAGAGAAATATGTGGAGTTGCACAGAAAGGGTACCCAAGAAAGTTTGAGGGATACTCAGAGAACTCTACGTAGATGAAGGGGTATATAAGTCATTGTGAAGGAACTAGTGAGAGTTAGTCAAGCTTTGGGGGTAGAAGGTTGGTAGAGGTTCTAGCATAGTCAACTAACAAACTTTATGGCACTTTAAATATAATGAGCTACACTTGAAAAAATATTAAAATGGTTACTAATGCAAAAAAGTAAAATTAATGAAATGCAGCTGAAAAGTCCAAGTGTAATAATCAATATAATTTAAAAGTGTTACTTAGTATAACAATGTACCTTTAGAAATGGCATCTGTTTTCTTTATTTAATAATTTTGTCTTGCAAAAAAGTGTATTCAGTTTTTATTAAAATATACAAATTGACAAATCAAAAATGTAGAAAATTTATTCCAAAAATTAAACATATAGGTCAGAAAAGAACTCATGCAATGGCCCTCTATAGATCTACTTAATAAATTATCTAATCATAATTATGACAAAAATTGATCAATAAAATGCCATAGTAAACTTCATACTATATTATTTCTGAAGGCACAGAAATAGGTGATGCCTTTTCGGTAGTTTTTACTCTAAAAGAAATAGAACAAAATTGTCATGTATAGATGATAGACATACTAGATCACTAGAAATACTTATATACACCTCATGTTACAGCCTTGTCAGTTTATTATATTTAATTCAATTGACTAATACAAACCCTCTCATAATAGACTTGGCAATTTAGACTGGCCTTGAAGAGTTGAAAGCACTTTTACAAAGAATGATAAGGGCAAAGCATTCCAGAAAAAGTTTTACCTATTCGCCTTGGTATTCTTAGTGATAAGAAAAGGATATATTGAAGCTGAATATACAGTAATTATGATTTTATTTTAAAAACTCACTTCTATTTAGCATGTCATGAAATAGTTCTACAAATCCCACTTTATTTGATACCTAATACCTTTAGTTATTTCTGCTTATCCTCTTTCACTAGTCTACATAATCATAGTATTAATGTAACTATTATTTGTTAAGGAGTTACTTATTTTGAGCATTTAAATATATAGAACTTTTAATGCTTATAACCACCTATGTAGCAGGTATTATCATTTTCTTTTGGCACATTATGGAGATAATATATGACACTCCTATTTTATATGTCAGAGTTGAGAATCCATTGAGATGTAGACACTGGTGAGATAGTTGGAGATATAATATTTAACCACTGATGAGAATTTGTAGGTAATGTACTTTGTATACATTGGTAAAGGTCTGATTATCACTTGACCCTGGATTAGGCACCCCAGGATTAATCACCCAGCTAGTAACAAAGCTTCCTGCTTCCCCAGGTACCATTTTACAGATAGCACCATGCATGCTCTCAGAACCCCACCAGAGACCTGTGGGAATATAGAAGGATGTGAGCCATGTGTGCTCATTTATGGCTTCCAACTTCAGTAAAACTTGAATTCTAGGAGGTCAAAAAGGGACCAAGAAACTTACCAAATGGAACTTCTTTTTCATGGAAACATGAGGTTTGGGGTAGAGAAAAGGTGTCTGTGGTATTCAAAGTATGACTCTCCAAAGATGACCACATTCTATCCCCCAGAGCTTATGAATGTATTATGTTACAGGGAAAGGAGGAATTAAGGTAAAGATGAAATTAAATTTGCTTATCAGGGGACTGTGGAATGGAAAGATTACCCTAGATTATCTGGGATGCTCCAGTGTAATCACAGGGATCCTTATAAGTGAGAGAGGTAGGAGAGTTAGGTCAGAGTGATACAATGTGAGAAAGCCTAGAGTGAACATTGCTGGCCTTGAGGATGGAACGGGGACCTAGCCAAGGACTGTGGCAGCCTCTAGACACTGGAAAAACTAAGAAAGTAAATTTTCCTCTGGGTGCTTCAAAAGGGAATGCAGCCAGTGGATGCCTTGATTTTAGCCCAGTGAGGCCCATTTCAGACTTTTGTCAACCAGAACTGTATGATAATAAATGGGTTTAGTGTGAATCTGCTAAATTTGTCATAATTTGTTCATAGCAGCAATTAAGTACCCATCAAGGTTTAGTGCAATAACAGAACCTTCTGTTTTTAAGCAGGTAGAAATTTAATACAAGATTTAGGTAATTAGAGAACTGTTGTAAGGTTGTGAAGAATGGAATAAAGTGATATAATTGGACTTTGTATTGTCCAGGCTGGTCTCAAACTGCTGAGCTCAAGGGATCCTCCCACCTCAGCTTCCTGAGTAGCTAGGACTGCAGGTATCTGCCACCCTGGCTGATTATATATATCTATATCTATCTATCTATATCTATATCTATATATAGATATATATATATCTATAGATATCTATATCTATATCTATATATATCTGTATACAGATATATATAGATATAGATATAGATAGATAGATATAGATACAGATATATATAATCTCTCTATATATATATTGCATTATATATGTATATATACGTATATGTGTATATATATATATACATAGAGAGAGAGAGAGAGAGAGAGAGAGAGAGAGAGAGAGGGAGAGAGAGAGAGAGAGAGAGAGAGAGATGAGGGTCTTGCTATGTTGCCCAGGCTGATCTCAAACTCCTGGCCACAAGTGATACTCCTGGCTTAGCTTCCTGAGTAGTTGTGATTACAGACACAAGCCCTCATGCTTGCTATCCTTAGACTCTGATTTAAAATCACATACTGTCAACTCCCACCATGACTAACACCCCTTCCCTCCAGTACTGAGGAAGCTGGTGAGTAATAGTTGTGTACTATTAAGTCAATTGTTTTTACCTTAGTTGGTTACTTCAACATCCCCAGACCACTGTCCAACCTTAAGATAGCACCCTGAGTTTTTGTGATGTTCACCTCCCATTGTCCAGCACACACACACACACAAACACACACACAGGCATACACACACCCACACCTCTATGTGTATGTATAGGCCTTTACAACATTTCTGCTCACCAAATTCAGTCAGCACAATGTTATCTATGCAGTGGACCCATCTAATATCTTGTAGAGTAGTGAGATAATCAAGATTCTTAGAGCCAGTTTATGCAGAGAGCCAGAGGTGAACTAGCAAAGTGTACTTCTGACCTGAAGGTAAACTGCATCTGCTTATTAAGACAGGGAAAGAGAAAGAATTTGCGCTTTCAAAACTGCTGATCAGTTATCAGCAGAATGTTGATTTGCTGGAATAAAGCTGTCACAGGAGGAACAGCAGCCCAATTGCATTTAATTCCCTGATCAAGTTTAAAATAATTCACTCTCCTTATCCAAGACCAATCCATCTTCTCTTCACAACAGCAATCTATATTCTGCTACTTAAATTGAGACATGAGAGAAATCACCACCTGGGCATCCTTCAAGACTTACGGTGGCACTAGTATTTGTGGTTCACCAGGGATGCAAGATTGAATTTGGTTTATCATTTTGGTGGAGTGGGGACATTCAAGGACTTTCACCTAGGTCTTATCAGCAAAATAGTCCTCATTCTACAAGTGAGGAAA